AAAAAGCTGTAATGCACATATTTGTGCATTTGTGTAATGTATATAGTATAACTTTGTGTAATGTATATGGTATAACTCAGGGTGACTACTAATACTGCGTATTCCACATTCCTTGGTTTTGATACCAGCATTTGATCAGTTCGCTCTCTCTATCTGTGCGTGTGTGTGTATGTGTGTAAGTGCGGGTGTGTGTGGTTGAGTATGCGTGTGTGTGAATGCATGCCTGACCTTTAAGAAAATTTCTACTTTTCCGAAAATTGCTACTTTCCCAAATACAGATTAATGGATTGCATTGCCAATGTACGTTTGTTGAAAGATAAAGCATATTCTTTTGTACAAATTCATAATAATAATAATAATAATAAAGATAATTGATAATAATAATATCTTACACCATGGAGACCTCTCTGCATTGTAGACTCTGTATACGCCATCTTCACTTGCTAAGCCTATAAATATAGAAGGCCTTCTGTGAACAATCTACAAATTATCATCACAGAATTAGGATGCTATTTTAAATAACAAGTTTTATTTCTTGTTTTCATATTTCAGCAAAAATACGCTTTTCATATTATGCTTTCACATTCCGAGCCCGTGTATTATGAATTATGAGTATTTTGATGAAATTGACATATATAACGGTTCTTACTCTACAGTATCTTATACTTATACGCAGCATTTGCTTAATAAACACACGAGGTGCTTATACCCATAGATTATACCTGTACTACGTGATAAAATTAGTAAGGGAGGTTTAACACTGTCTAGCATGAAACTCACCTTCGTCCATTGCAAATGCTATGTTAAGATTTCTGAAGTCTTCGTGCTTAACGAACAACTTCATACCCTCCTCACTACCCACTTGTTCATCTGTAATACGAAATATATCTAAAACGTCAGTATGGCCTTATAATATGTCTATTATCTCATTATTTCGGTACTAATAAAATCTACAATAATTGAGTTTTTTCCACAGTGTCAAAATGTACATAAACTCTATCTGCGTATCACTTCCGTGTACAGAAAGGTTGTATACGTAAACAGTTATGTATGGACACCAGTGACTTTAAGGCGATCATTTCTGAATAAATTTTTTGTTTCGAAATTGTTTTGTCTTAAGGAGTTTCCCTTTACCTGGCACAAAAGTAACATGCACTGTTCTTACTGGGACTACTCCGTTTTGTCTTAGCTTTCTTATGGCCTCCAGATACCTGAAATTTGAACATTCTTATTAGTTGAACGTGCCCTAGGCCGCATTCAGAACAGTGGACTAACTAGTCCCAGGGTCAAATATGGCCGTCCCACTTGAATATTTGCCCACGGGGATCTATTCAGTGTCTGTTAGCGGAATAGACGGCAAGCTTTTTACTGGGTGGCCATATTTGACCCGCGGACTACTTAGTCCACTGTTCTGTAAGCGGCCCTACACATAAGTTGGTCTGAAACAGTGCTTGTGAAACGTCACTGGCACAAGTATGCTTATGTAAAGCAGTCCTGGTTTCTGTGCAAATACAAAAATATGTTTATACACTTATATGATAGCGGTGTTGCTATCTGTTTACATAACATGCAGTGCTAGTGATATTTAATCTATACTATGAAATTTTTAGCGCAACATTCTTACTGCTACACACACACACACACACACACACACATATATAACCGTCTAGCAATGAGGGGAACTTCCTAAGAGTCGTCGTGATTTTTTCTTAATATTTCTTAACAGAAATGTAAAAAGAATCGTGCGTTTGACTTACTGTATTCCAACACATTTCATATCCTGAAATACAAAGATAACATCAGAATGCCACATGAAAAATTTAAACATTTCAATTGAACAATGCTTTGGCCTTGTGCATGCAATAAAACTAAAAATTCAGGCAGCCACTAGGCTTTCCAAATTACAACAGCAAGTATACTTGCGTATTTAATTAAATAGTTTTACTACTCAGCACAATAGCCAAAGAAGTAAACAGAAAAATACACCAGGCATATTTTATTGTCATCTAAGTAGTCCTACGCAATGAAATATATTTCCCTAGCTACTGGGCAGCAGCACCCATGGCACCGTGCCACGATGAACTCATTTTATCAAAAACATCGCCCAGCCGCGTGATCTGTCACATGCAACTTAACACCGGTGCCCGGTTTTAAAAACTTCTTTATACATGTATATTTAAACTCACAAGGACGCTGCTTCACATGGTAAGATCAAACGCTTAACAAAAATTTAATAAGTAGCATGCATGTAATCCTTACCTGTGCTCCTCTACCATAGATATTGCCATCCGCGTCCTTTTCTCCACCAAAAGGATCGAAAGTCCAATATTCCTGCAAAAGTAACAAATAAAATGTATTTTTCCATTTCCCCTTGTATTTTTTTTTTTTTCGGAATTTAAAAAAAAATGTCGTCCACTCTCTTGAGTTAAGAGGGAATGCAAATAAAAAAAATCTGATAAAGTCTACATGTATTTGAATTCCAATTCCTTAATTTTGACCGCTTTTATCTTAATTCAACAGTTAAGATATCCAATTTGTTTCAGAGACGTTGGGGGGGGGCAGTGCGTGTTGATACATTCTATCTGTATATCCATGATGAAAAAATATTCATAACAGTAAAAGTCTGAGGTTAGAGACGTATTTTTCATTTATTCGACACCAACCATATTTAGACTGGATTTAACTAGAACCACATCGGAGCGGCAATGAAATGTAAGTAGATAAGTATCTTATAGTTATTTCGCGTTCCACGTTTTCCAAGACATACACGTTCCATTTTAATTGTCCTAACCTTGGCGCGTTCTGAAGTTGAAACAGTCGGTACAAAATAATAGAAAATACAGAAAGTACATGCATGTTCTTTGGCAATAAAGGCAGGTGTGGTATAAAACCTTTATAACTTTACATTAAACAAGAAGTTATAAAGAGAAGGAGTAGAAACAAGGGGTTTCCTTTCATCCTATCCTCGTAACGGGCTTAATCCTAATAATTACCCAGCTTGTGGTCTTAGGGAGAGCTTGTGCCTAATACATATTCAAAAGACCGTTCACGTGGGTTGCTTCAGCCAATGGGGATAAAGCTTCGCGAAGTCTCTAATAATCTCACAGAGAAAACATGGTGGGATTACAGAAGGGTGTAGAGAGAGATTTCAAGCCTGGACGCAACCATTTTGGGAAATAAAAACTCAAATCATGCGAGATACACCTTCATTTGATCTAGAGCCGATCAGTTATACAAAAATTAGTTTCACATCAAGAATGTATGAGAACAATTTCACAAACCCACCTTCAACGCTAAAATTTGCACCTGTAGAAGTCTCATATTTATTTTAAATTCTTTTTGTCGTGTAAAGGAAATTTACCTTCATCTAGGAATGACACATTCAATT